TATACCGCTTTTCTCAGCCCTCAGGCGACTATTACTTTTAATTGCCTTTCTTCTTTTGCTGAAGCTACATTTAATCATCAATAAACTGCTTTGCTTATTCATTGGATTCTGGCTTGTGCGTCTGGTTCAGAGGTGCCTTCCCCGCTCTGGTGTGTGACAGTCGAAGCTGCAGATGGTTGAACTGGTGGGCGAGGAGGGCCCACTCTGTTGTCCAAAGACCCTGCCACCAGCTGGAAATGTTTGTCTTCTCCGAACTCTTTGTTGCGTAAGCTTTTCATTGCTGCCAATGGCTTGAAGCAGAACAATAAGCCTCTGCAGGGAGTTGTGCATGAATCATAAGTAGGCAGAGATGGGCAAATGAATGGGAGGAACGCCAATCCGAGGGAACACACACACAAAAATACCCAACAACAACCTTTGGCCTTTTTGTTAGTTGCAGCTGCCAGAGCTTGCTTCATAAGAAGATCTGCACAACACCCTCCTGCCGCCCAGTTTTAATCAACCCTTCGACAATGTTGGGTTTTGGAGCAGCATCTCCAAACAATGGAAGCTCAACTTCTTTTGTTGCTGTTGTTGTTTTAAGCCGCATTAAACTCACCGGATGCAAAAGAGGGGGAAAGCTCAGCCACATGAAGGTGAGGATGTATTAATCTCCACTCCCATCTGGAGATTGCAATAATGCAACACCAAGCACGCCTCGTCGTGCTCACAGCGTGGAAGGGCTTCTTCTCAGGGACAAGATTCATGTGGGAAGGTTTTTTGAGATGATCAAGGTTAGAATATCAGTTTATCTGGGCTGGGCTAGAAAAGGTACGTATAATCAAAGAGATCTCGTTACTTCTTCTTCATCATCATCTTCCTCTTCCTCCTCCTCCAAAGTTTTGGAATACTAAATAACTCTGATAACCTCAATCTACATTTCTAATCAACTACACATCTCTCTCCCTCTCTTTCTCTATCTATCTATCTATCTATCTATCTATCTATCTATCTATCTGTATATTTGTTGTTGTTTATTCATTCAGTCACTTCCGACTCTTTGTGACCTCATGGACCAGCCCACGCCAGAGCTCCCTGTCGGCCGTCACCACCCCCAGCTCCTTCAAGGTCAAGCCAGTCACTTCAAGGATGCCATCCATCCATCTTGCCCTTGGTCGGCCCCTCTTCCCTTTTCCTTCCATTTTCCCCAGCATCATTGTCTTCTCTAAGCTTTCCTGTCTTCTCATGATGTGGCCAAAGTACTTCATCTTGCCTCTAATTCAGAAGAAGACCTACAAGCCACTCTAAACACCTTTGCAGAAGCATACGAGAAGCTCAGCCTGTCATTGAACATTGAGAAAACCAAAGTGCTGTTCCATCAGTCACCAACCAATCCTTCTCCAATGTCAGAAATACAAATTAATGGTGTAACATTAGAAAATGTTGACCATTTCCGCTCCCTTGGCAGCCACCTCTCCACAAAAAAGTAGTCAACATTGACACTGAAATTCAACACCGTCTGAGCTCTGCGAGTGCAGCATTTTTCCGAATGAAGCACAGAGTATTGTCGAAGGCTTTCATGGCCGGAATCACTGGGTTGTTGTTTTTTCGGGCTATATGGCCATGGTCTAGAGGCATTCTCTCCTGACGTTTCACCTGCATCTATGGCAAGCATCCTCAGAAGTAGTGGGGTCTGTTGGAACTAGGAAAAAAGGGTTTATATATCTGTGGAATGACCAGGGTGGGACAAAGGACTCTTGTCTGTTGGGGCTAGGTGTGAATGTTTCAACTGACCACCTTGATTAGATTGCCTGGCAGTGCCTGGAGCAATCTTTTGTTGAGAGGTAATTAGATATCCTTGTTTGTTTCTGTTAACTGGCTGTTGTACACAAATATGAATGTTTTGTTTACATTTATGTGGTTATAGAATTTGGTCTGTCTATGTGTAGTTTAGTCTGACACAGAGTCAGACAAAATTCTATAATTCTGGGAAAGTCAAGAGCTTGAACATTGTTTCCATCCTAAATATCTCGGTGTCACCTTAGATCAAACACTAGCATATAGGAAATACTGCTTGAACACCAAGCACAAAGTAGCTGCACGCAATAACATCCTGCGGAAACTTACTAGCAGCACATGGGATTCAGACCCAAAATTAGTAGGAACATCAGCCCTGGCCTTGTCTTACGCAACTGCCAAGTATGCCTGCCCTGTTTGGCATAGGTGATGACAATGTCGTCTGTGCGCATTCAGAAGAAGACCTACAAGCCACTCTAAACACCTTCACAGAAGCATACGAGAAGCTCGGCCTGTCATTGAACATTGAGAAAACCAAAGTGCTGTTCCATCAGTCACCAGCCAATCCCTCTCCATTGCCAGAAATACAGTTTAATGGTGTAACATTAGAAAATGTGGACCATTTCCGCTCCCTTGGCAGCCACTTCTCCACAAAAGTCAACATTGACACTGAAATTCAACACCGCCTGAGCTCTGCGAGTGCAGCTTTTTCCCCGAATGAAGCACAGAGTGTTTGAGGACCGGGACATCCGTAGGGAGGCCAAAGTGCTTGTTTGCAAAGCCACTGTCCTCCCAACCCTGCTATACACCTGCGAAACGTGGACTGTCTACAGACATCAACATTGACACTGAAATACAACATTGCCTGAGCTCTCCGAGTGCAGTTTTCTGAATGAATCACAGAGTGTTTGAGGACCGGGACATCCGTAGGGAGACCAAGGTGCTTGTTTATAAAGCTATTGTCCTCCAAACCCTGCTATACGCCTGCGAAACCTGGACTGTCTACAGACATCAACATTGACACTCAAATACAACACCGCCTGAGCTCTGCGAGTGCAGCTTTTTCTGAATGAACCAGAGAGTGTTTGAGGACTGGGACATCCGTAGGGATACCAAGGTGCTTGCTTAAAAGCTATTGTCTTTCCAACCCTGCTATACACCTGCAAAATGTGGACAGTCTACAGACGTCAACATTGACACTCAAATACAACATCGCCTGAGCTCTGTGAGTGCAGCTTTTTTCCAAATGAAGCAGAGAGTGTTTGAGGACCAGGACATCCGTAGGGATACCAAGGTGCTTGTTTATAATGCTATTGTCCTTCCAACCCTACTATACGCTTGCGAAACATGGACTGTCTACAGTCCAGTTGGACTGGATGGCCCATGAGGTCTCTTCCAACTCTTTGATTCTATGACATCACATGCAACTCCTGGAACGATTCCATCAGCGCTGCCTCCGGAAAATCCTGTAAATCTCTTGGGAAGACAGGCGGGGAAGTGTCAGTGATCCGGAAAAAGCAAAGACCACCAGCATTGAAGCGATGCTCCTCCGCCATCAACTCCGCTGGACGGGCCATGTTGTCCAGATGCCCGACCAACGTCTCCCAAAGCAGTTGCTCTATTCCAAACTCAAGAATGGAAAACGGAATGTTGTTGGGCAGGAAAAGAGGTTTAAAGATGGGCTCAAAGCCAACCTTCAAAACTCTGGCATAGACACTGAGAACTGGGAAGCCCTGGCCCTTGGGTGCTCCTGCTGGAGGTCAGCTGTGACCAGCAGTGCTGCAGAATTTGAAGAGGCACGAATGGAGGGCAATAGTGCCAAGAGGAAGGTGCGTGAAGTCAACCCCTGCCTTCCACCTGGAAACCGATGCCCTCACTGCGGGAGAACATGCAGGTCAAGAATTGGGGTCCACAGTCACCTACAGACCCACCGACAGAACACCGACCTTGTAGGAACATCATCCTCGGACTACGAGAGATTGCCTAAGTAAGTAAGTCCATACAAAGCAGGTGAACACAGCATTGAATGAAACATGCAGAATAACCACAGGATGTCTTAATCCTACACCTGTTGATAAACTCTACAAACTAGGTGGCATGGCCTCCCCTGATGTGCAATGGAAAGTTGCTGCTAAATAAGGTTGAGCCCTGTGAAAGCCACCCACAGCATGGCTACCAGCCTCCTCCCAGTAGACTTAAATCAAGGAAAAGCTTTATGAGAACGATCACTCCTCTTGGAGTCCTCCCAGCAACAGCAAGGGTCTCCCTTCTGGGCAGCTAGACCAGGAAATCCCAACTGGATGCCCCCCCCCCCACAATAGCTATCTATTTATATTATATCCATATTATAAATGGATATATATATATATATATATATCTCCACATAATAATAATATAAGAATAATAATATAATATAATATAATAATATTATATCCAATATCTATCTATATTGTATACATATTATATATATTATATATATTATATATATATATATTATATATATATATGTATATATGTGTGTGTGTATATATATATATATATCCAAATAATAATAATAATAATATAAGAATAATAATAAAATATAAGAATTATATCTATCTATCTATCTGTCTATATATATATATATATATATATATATATATATATATATATAAATATATATATACTCACATAATAATAATAACAATATAAGAATAATAAATATAATAATATTATAATAATATCTATCTTTGTATACTATTATATATATATATATATATATATATATATTATATATTATATGTATATACAGTGTTGTGTATATATATATATATCCAAATAATAATAATAATAATATAAGAATAATAATAAAATATAAGAATTATATCTATCTATCTATCTGTCTATATATATATATATATATATATATATATATATATATAAAAAATATGTATATACATATATATATATATCTCCACATAATAATAACAACAATATAAGAATAATATAATATAATAATATTATATAAAATATCTATCTATCTATATTATATATAATAATAATAATAATAATAATAATTTACCTCCATCCTTATACATTTCCTCTTGGGACCATTCATATGAAATCCCAAACCAAATTATATTTCTCATGTTTGTCCTTAGGAAAGGCCTCAGTCGGGCATAGCTGGGTTCCTAAGTTAGTAATAATCACTAATAATCACTAATAATACTAATTATGTTAATTACCAGGCGTATTGCTGGGGATCCCCTGCAGAGGAGGCAGCCTGTCCCATGGAGGAGGAGGAATGGGAGGAATGGGAGGAAGGAGCAGAACCTGCGTTGCTCTCAGCCGGGCTTCCTGCCGGCTCTCTGCCGGGAGGGTTCATGCCTGGCTGGGAAAAGAAAACAGAAAAGCAGGGGGAGAGGCAAGCCACGCCTCCAATCTCGGAGGGGGCGTGGTTGTGGGAAAGCCACGCCCCCTGCTTGCCCAACTGCTTGGCAAAGGCAAGCAGAGGCGCCGAGGGAGGGGGAAGAAGCCACGCCCCTTGCCCAATCAGAGGCCTGAAACCGCGCCGGGGGAAGACAAGGCCACGCCCCTTGTCCAATCAGAGGCATGGAACAGCTCCGGGGAAGGATAAGGCCACGCCCCTTGTCCAATCAGAGGCATGGAACAGCTCCGGGGAAGGATAAGGCCACGCCCCTTGCCCAATCAAAGGCATGAAACCACGCCTCAGCCCCAAAGCGGGGCGTGGCTTAACCAAGCCACGCCCCCTCCCTCCTTTTTATTTACTTCCAAAAGCATTGCATCAATATAGATAAACAAATATAACACTGATAATGGAGAAAGGCAGGGAGTTGCAGAAAAACATCTATTTCTGCTTTATTTATTTATTTATTTATTTATTGACTATTATTTATTTATTATTATTTATTATTTAATATTTATTTATTATTTATTATTATTTAATATTTATTTATTATTTATTATTACTTAATGTTTATTTATTATTATTTATTATTTAATATTTATTTATTATTTATTATTATTTAATATTTATTTATTATTTATTATTTAATATTTATTTATTATTATTATTTAATATTATTTATTTATTATTTTTATTATTTAATATTTATTTATTATTTATATTATTTAATATTATATTATATTATTATTTTAATATTATTTATTATTTATTTATTATTTATTATTACTTAATGTTTATTTATTATTATTTAATATTTAATATTTATTTATTATTTATTATTATTTAATATTTATTTATTATTTATTATTACTTAATGTTTATTTATTATTATTTATTATTTAATATTTATTTTTATTTATTATTATTTAATATTTATTTATTATTTAATATATTTATATTTATTATATATATTATTTAATATTTATTATTATTATTATTTAATATTTATTATTATTATTATTATTTATTTAATATTTAATTTTATTTATTTATTATTGACTTTGTGTTCTGGAACGGCTTGTTCCAGGGGCTCCAATTTTGTGTTTTGCACTGAGTGTTTGTTCATAGTCCTAAGTTGCAGGGACTTTGCAGATAGGTGGCTTCCTTTGGCTGCATTCATAGGGCAAGCCACCTGTCAATAATAGTTAGGATCCCTGGTCCCGCCCCTCTCTGGGTTTTTTTGGAGGGAAGGGGCCATTTTTCAGTCAGTCTCAAAAAGGAAGTCAATGCAGAGGATGTACACAAACGTCCTCCTGTGCAAAGGCTTCGTCTCTTAAGACTTCCCGGGGGAGAACAGTTTTAAGAGCCTCTACAGATTCCCAAAGGGTTCCAGGGAAACAGCTTTACAGCCCTGAGGACTTCCGGAGGGAATAACAGCTCTGCTCATCTCCAGCTAAGTGACTACAGGCCTGCTGGTATGTCTGCTAGGTTCTGAGACACAGTTCAGCCGGTAGTAGACTCAAATCAGTCAGGTTTAGGTTCACAGCAGCCTGGGAGGAGCTTTAAAGGGGAATTTTTCTGTTAAACAAAGTTTTTTGAAGATAGTGCCTGTTTCCTGTAAACAAGACTGCAAGTATTGTCGAAGGCTTTCATGGCCGGAATCCATGGGTTGTTGTAGGTTTTTCCGGGCTATATGGCCATGTTCTGGAGGCAATTTTTTTTTCTCCTGATGTTTCGCCTGCATCTATGGCGAGCATCCTCAGAGGTAATCCTCATGTAGGAATATGAAAGGCACTGCAAACTACTCCAACCAGAGAAATCAGCCATAGCAGAGCACCTGATGAACCAACCTGGACACAGCATATTATTTGAGAACACAGAAATGCTGGACCACTCTCACAACCACCATGTCAGACTACACAGAGAAGCCATTGAAATCCACAAGCATGTGGACAATTTCAACAGAAAGGAGGAAACCATGAAAATGAACAAAATCTGGCTACCAGTATTAAAAAACTCAAAAATTACAACAGCAAAACAACAGAGGGGAAACAAACAGGCACATAAAATCACTCTCAACAAAAGATTCCCCCCGGGCACTTCCAAGCCATTGAATGCTAATCGAGGTGATCAGCTGAAACATTCACAGCTAGCTCCTGCAGACAAGAGTCCTTTGCCCCACCCTGGTCATTCCACAGATATATAAGTCCATTTTTCCTACTTCCAACAGACCTCACTACCTCTGAGGATGCTTGCCATAGATGCAGGCAAAACGTCAGGAGAGAATGCCTCTACAACATGGCTATATAGCCTGGAAAAACCTACAACAACCCAAGATTGCAAGAGCTAATAGACTGATAAGAAAGCTTACAATTCCTGTTTGTTCATTAATAAAGAACTGTTATATTTAAGCTCAAGCCTCATAAAGACTGCTTAATAAGGGAAATTTTCCTAAAGGCTTCTTTTCGGGGGCCCTGGCTTCCCGCTGGATGCAAGCCTAACATCCTCTCTTAAAAACACCTCATTTTGGCTCCAGCATCTAAAGACTTTGACTGTGTGGATCATAATAAATTGTGGCAAGTTCTTGGTGGGATGGGCATACCAAGCCCCCTTCCCTCTCTCCTGAGGAATCTGTACAAGGACCAAGGAGCAACAGTCAGAACTGACCATGGAACAGGAGACGGGTTCAAGATTGAGAAAGGCGTACGGCAAGGCTGCATACTCTCACCCAACCTATACAACTTGTATGCAGAACACATCATGCGATGTGCGGGGCTTGACGAATGCAAAGCTGGGGTCAAAATTGCTGGAAGAAACATTAACAACCTTAGATATGCAGATGATACCACTTTGATGGCCGAAAGCGAGGAGGAGCTGAGGAGCCTTCTAATCAAGGTGAAAGAAGAAAGTGCAAAAGCTGGGTTGCAGCTAAACATAAAAAACAAGATTAGTGTGCAGGTACAACTGTACCAGGAGCTCCAATTTTGTTTGCTTTGCATTGAATGTTTGTTTGTAGTCCTAAGTTTCAGGGACTCTGCAGATAGGTGGCTTCTTTTGGCTGCAATCATAGGGCAAGCCACCTGTCAATTATAGTTAGGTTCCCTGGTCCCGCCCCCTTTTTGGGTTTTAGAGGGAATAGGAGCCATTTTGAGTTCAGTCCACACAGAGAAGCTTTCCATGCAGGACATAATACCAAGAGCTCCTGTAGAAAGCTTCATCTTCTACAGCTTGGCCGGGGTTATACAGCCCACAGCTTGGCTGAGGATCATACAGCCTTACAGCTCCTTTGCTGAGGGACTTCAGTCAGCCATCACTGAAACCTGAACTCCTTCTTTTCCCTGGAAGTCTACAAAGCTCTGCTTGGTAAGGGTCGCTCGCAGAAGCCAGAAGCAGTTGGTACTGGGTGCAGGGGCTCCACGCCAACAGAGGCAAAGACAGACTGCCCAGATTAGAAGTTAAGGATTTCCCCATTAGTTAATGTACAGTTTATGAAGATAGTGCCTGTTCCCTGTGGGCAAGATTGAGAGAGAGCCAATAGACTGTTAAGAAAGCCTTAAAGTACCTGTTTGTTTTTATTAATAAAGAACTTTGTTGAACCTTTAAGCAATCTAAAGACTCTGTTTTAAGGAAATCCAAAGGCCTTTAATCTGAGGCAGCCCCGGCGTCCCGTTGGGCACACAGAATTTATGTCCTGTCTACAGTCTTATGCACAGGCCCAGCGTGCGACATCAAAAAAACCAAGATGATTGACAACTGGGAAATAGAGGGAGAAAACGTGGAGGCCGTGACAGACTTTGTATTTCTAGGCGCAAAGATGACTGCAGACGCAGACTGCAGCCAGGAAATCAGGAAATGCTTCCTTCTTGGGAGGAGAGCAATGACCAATCTCGATCAAATAATGAAGAGTAGAGACATCAGACTGGCAACCAAGATCCATTGCCTAGTCAAAGCCATGGTATTCCCTGTAGTCACCTACGGATGTGAGAGCTGGACCTTAGGGAAGGCTGAGCGAAGGAAGAGAGGTTTTGAGCTGTGGTGTTGGAGGAAAGTGCTGAGAGTGCCTTGGAATGCGAGAAGATCCAACCAGTCCATCCTCCAGGAAATAAAGCCCGACTGCTCACTGGAGGGAAGGAGATACTAGAGACAAAGTTGAAGTACTTTGGCCACATCATGAGGAGACAGCAAAGCCTAGAGAAGACAATTATGCTGGGGAAAGTGGAAGGGGAAAGGAAGAGGGGCCGACCAAGGGCAAGATGAATGGATGGCATCCTTGAAGTGACTGGTTTGACCTTGAAGGAGCTGGGGGTGGTGACGGCCGACAGGGAGCTATAGCGTGGGCTGGTCCATGAGGTCGGAAATGACTGAACAAATGAACAACAACAACCCCAAATAACCAAACCGAATCTTACCTTGACCAAAAATGGATTCGTAACCCTTTTGGTACTAATGTTAGAGAGTGGTCCCTGATCAAAGTTGTCCCTGGTCAAAAAAAAAAGGGTTGGAAGCCACTGCTCTAGAATGATGGAAGTTTTTTTTTTTTGTCATGTCAGGACTGACTTGAGAAACTGCAAGTCGCTTCTTGTTGCATCCCACATCAAGAAACGAGACCATAAGATTAAATTTCTCCATCGGATTTTGCATGCCCTGATTTATTTTTATTTATTTATTATTTTGTATGCTTATATACCGCAATATCTCAGCCTACAACGGCGACTCATTGCGGTTAACAGTACTTAAAAACAACAATAATCAAACAATTTAAAAGCATAAAAAACATATACAGTACACAGTATCGGGCCACCAATACCGACCAATGCATCTCTTAGTTAAAATCATAACAATCCTTGTTTATTGATGAAAAATTGGTTACAAAAGAAAGGTAAATGCAAAGTCAAAAAGCCACAATAGAAACACAGCAGTCAGGAAAATCTCTGAACTTGAGCAAAATTCCAAAAGCCACAATACAAGAACCAGGAACCTGTTAGCCTCTTGCTAACC